CTAATTATGTGTCCACAGAGCAGCAGCACCAGCTCCCATTTTGATGAGTCTCTATTTGATGATGCTTCATTTTAGCAGGAGATATACAGCACTTTACTTTGATCCGTGTCCCTAAAAACCTAAAACTGTTTGTCAGATAATGAAATGGCTCCATGAGATAAAGGGTTCTCGAGGGAAGTATCATGGCTCTATGCTACGCTAACGTATCGGGGAAAGAAAGATTTCTTTGGACTCCACCTCTCTGGATACGATGAAGAAACCTGCAAAGATCACATCATCCTTTTTAACCAGAACCTCATCCACCCAAAGCCGACTACAACAAGGGAAGAGGCTTCCACAGAACACCAAGCTGTCTGCTCTGTAGCTGTTTAAGGACACATCTTATATCCTGAAGAGATTGTTTTTCATGTCGGTGGTTTTGACTTCATTGATCTGGAAGAGAAGAAAAGAAAAAACATTAACGGTTAATTAAAATGAGCTTAAAGGTGCTTTAAGATGTTTAACTATGTGAAATAAATTGCTTTATAAACGTCTTCATTACCAGATGTTCCTGGTTTGACTTCAGAATAAACAGATTCCTCTTCTGCTGCACATCTGGATTTTTCTACGAATGAAAAGATTTTAGGGCGGCACGGTGGCGTGGTGGTTAGCACTGTTGCCTCACAGCAAGAAGGTCCTGGGTTCGATTCCGCCCAGTGGCCTTTCAGTGTGGAGTCTGCATGTTCTCCCTGTGTCTGTGTGGGTTCTCTCCGGGTGCTCCGGCTTCCTCCCACAGACCAAAGACATGCTTATTGGGGACTTTAAATTGCCCGTGTGAGTGTGAATGGTTGTGTGTCTCTGTGTAGCCCTGCGATTGGCTGGCGACCAATCCAGGGTGAACTCTGTCTATCGCCTGAAGTTGGCTGGGATGGACTCCAGCCCCCCGCGACCCTGCGTGCAGCATAAGCGTTTTGACAATGGATGCATGAAAAGATTTTATGTTTGCCAGTAGTGCCCTAGTTAAACAAAATAATGTACTGATATACGTTATCAGAATTGTAAAACACAACACAAGATTGTATAAGTGTAACATTAAGCAGAATAGGTTACAATAATAGTTGAAGTAGGAATAGACAAACATTATTTAAGATTATTTTAAAAACAACAAAATACAATTTTCTAACTTGTTTTAGATGGAGACAGAACTCACATCACAAGGAGTCAATACACGTCATCTAAAAACACAGGACACATTTTCAATTTAAATGACCAATTTAAAAAAGGTCTAAAGTCTGTTGTGTACTTGTATGCAGGATGTGTATATTGTTGACATTGGCCACATTAGACGACGTAGGAACGTATTAAACTAGAGCAGGTAGCACCTGTTAAATACTAGAAGCTGTGTTGGCGTTGACTGTACCTGCAGCTGATGCGATCCTCACATCCGAGTAAACGGGGCTCTCGTCTGGTTCATCGTGCTTCTCTGTCACAAAGACCACATGAAGAACTTTGATGAGAAGAACAAAATCATCTCAGCTGTCAAAGGTGATTCTCACTATACAAAGTAAATCACCAACCCTTCTTTTTAAGGTGTTTGAACTCGACCACAGAATATGTGAGGCTGGATTCATCTGAAATTACAATTTCTTGTTTAAAGTTAAGAATACATTATTAAATAAATCACGATTAAAGCTGAACATGAAGAAGTGTTTCACCCTGGTTGATCATGTGGTCTGTAGCTGGGCTCTGATTGGTCCTCTGAGACCTTGTGGGTCCAAAACATGAAGTAAATACAGAGGATTTAATGAGGAACATGTAAAGTCCTGCTGCCATGTTCAGAGTGAGAGAAGAGAGGCTTGTACCAACCTGCTGAGGCTTGAAGCTGCAAGAAAAAGGTTTCACATTGATCATTAATTAGTGTGTGTGATAATATCTGTGACTTTGACTTATTTCAGTGAAATCAGTCTGATATCAGAAGGAAAAGATCTCACCTTCTGACTTTCTGTAGCGACGCAGAAACAGCAGCAGGAGAATAATCAGTAAAACTCCAGAAACCAGACCAACAACCAACGGCACGAGAAACACAGAGCTTGATGCTGCTTCTTCAGGATCTACACACAAGTACACACCAACCATGAAGAGATACACAAGTAACAATAATAATACAGTTTATTTATAACACACTCTTCATCAACAGATCTCAGAGTGTCACAGAGCCAGAAAAACATACTTAAAACAAAGTAAAACTAGTAAAAACACAGGTACTAATGTGTTGTAGTACTAAACAAGTACTACAACACACACACTCAAATACACAAATATGAACCCTCGATCACACAACATTCACCTTTCACTGCTGGTCATGTTACATCTCTAATATTATGTGTTTTTACTGAACATGAACCTCTTTAAAACTATATTGTCTCACACAAACAAATAGTTTATCTTAAGATAACTTCTAATTCAGTGACACCTTTTCTCACTCAGACTGTAACACATGTTACAAAACTCGTACTCACATTTCACTGACAACCAGCTCTCTGCTGAGGTCAAAGTCTCCAAACCTTGAGGTGATTTCCTTCCTCTACATTTATAAAAGCCTTCATCTGACTTAGTAACTGCAGAGATAAGCAGCTCCCCTCTGACAGGATTTGGGATGAGTTTGTCATTTTTATAGAAATCCACATTATAAAGAAGGTTTTCTGTCCTCAACTTGCAGCCAAGAGTGACGGAATGTCCCTCAGTCACAGGACGGACAGGACTCACCAGGATGACATCACCACCTGTAAAGAGACCAGAGGACAGGAAGTCAAACAATCTGATGTACAATGAGGAGAAGACATTTATAGTTTATATTTGTTATTCACATTCACACAGTAGCTGAGCGAATAGCTGCATTTCATGGATGGAAGAGACGGCCCTTTGGTGACGTACATGCTCACAGTTACATCTTTAATTAATGCTCAATATGTCGGGAGACAAATGTCCACTTAGTGGCAGTGAGCTACAGAATGGTCTAAAAGGTACAAAGTGAGCAGATAACTCTACAGCTCCTCCTGGTTTAAAGTCAATGGTGGATGTCAATGGTCATTAAGAGGAAAGTAAACCACAAAGACGTGTTGGATAATACAGAGAAATGATACTGCAACAAACTAAGATTGTTGAATCGTTTGTTAAAATAAATATTGAGTTAAACTCATCATAAATTCAGCTTAAAAATGTCAGCACTCTGTAATAAGATGTGTAAATACTTTACATTTAAAACCTTTAAATGAATATAAACTCACTGTGTATAGTGATGTTGGCTGCATTGCTGGACTGTGTTACAGACTCACACCAGTACACTCCACTACTCGCTCTAGTGGTGTTGGTGTTGCATGTGGATCCAGTCATTTCTCCCCACTTAAAACAGGATGACCTCTTGCCATTTTCATCAGCCTTCTTCACTCTCCACTCAGTAGAGTTTCCCTCACAGCTCAGTGACAGTGACTCTGTGCTGAAGTGCTGCAGTCTGTGAGGACTCACTGTGAGAGACGCTGCTGGATTCACAGCTGAAGACACATCATTAGGACACACACACAGGACAAACAATGTCAACACAAAAAGGACATTTATTCCCTTGTGCAAGAATATAAAAGTCTGAACAAACTCACCTCCAGACCAGACAAACTTCACACCACTATGCAGAGTGTTAAACACAGGATCTCCTCTTCCAGCTCTGCACACATATCCTGCTGTGTGTGTCTGTCCATGAAGAATGTAGGAATCCTGTTCAGTCCCATTGGTGCCACCAGCTAGAAGCTCATAGGTGTAGTAGTCTGACATGTCTGGAACAGCCTTATACCAGAAGAACCTCCATCCTGCAGACGGAGGTTCAACACTGCAGGTCAGAGTCACTGAGTCTCCAGGACTCGTCCATGATGGAGACACTGTGAGGACAGGCTGAGGGACATCTGTTGGAAAGAGGTTTGACAGAATAAAGACGTGTTATGATGAGTCCTTGGTGGATTACTGTCACTGCTGATGTCCTCCATCTTTTTATCTGTCTTCATGTGTTAAACTGGTGTTTGGGTACAATGTCTTTAAACATAGTAACTAATCTTACATTTCAAATATTCTATTTCAGATTCTTTGTCCTTAAATCTGCACTTGTAAGAGCTCCCATCAGACATCAGAGAAATGGTGATTTCATGTGTGTGTTGATGGTTTGTGTCCATCTCAATAAGTGTTTTGTCTTTGTAGAAGTCAGCATTCTTCTCCTTTCTCTGGTCTCCATGTCGACAGTGAAGAGTCACTGATTCTCCTTCATACAAGGAGGACGCAGGAGTTAAAGGATCACATCTCTGTCTGTGGAACAGTTACTTCTTTGCTTTACTAAATCAGTTTCCTTAAATTAACAATGATACAAGATATCAGTGATTTATGTTTCCTACATAATTTTAATTTAACATCAAGTTGCAGACAGAAGAAGATGTCAAAGTCAGTCTCCCTGTAATAAATAATAAAAGGTTCACTGAGTAATGAGAACATTTCACCTGAAGGAGGCGCCACACTCTGCTGATGTGTTTGATCCATTTGTGTTATCAATAAATAATCAACTAATTGATTCATAATTTGTCAATAGGGATAAAATATGGGATGGTTTGTCTTAACTCTGTCCATCATTCTTTTGTTTTATTTGCAACGATCAATAAAATCAGATAATTGATCATTTTAAGCAAAGATCAGCTAATTAAACAGCTTCAGTGTCAACTTTCTCTCACACTAGTTAATATTTATTAATTATCACTACATTATATTATATCAGCACTTTATCAAACAGGTTTATTAAATCAACACGTCTCATTAATATAAAAGTGCTTTAATGAACTCGTCGTGATGGTAAAACATTGATCACTTATCTGATACAGTTAGAGAGACTTTATTACTTTCTCTTGTAACAGGACGGATCTTGTGATCAGCAACACACTGATATTCACCACTATCTCCTCTAGTTAGAGATGATGATTTATATCTATTCACTGTTCTGTTGGTGGTAAAGAAATGATCATTCCTACTGAATGAGTAATTCCAGTCAGTGTCGTTTCCTTCCCTTGAGTCACATATGAAGGAAACTTTCTCTCCAGTAAATAAAGGGGACCAGTTTGGCTCAATATGCAGCAAAGCATCTAGAAACAAACACAACATGCAAAGATTGAATCTTCTTTCTTGTAATCATCATAAATTAACTTTTACGATCAACTATTAAATAGAGATAGAATGTGTTGAGTCGTCTTGAGTGAATGTATCAAAATAAAGAAAGTTGTATAGAAACCTTGAGCGTGTCCACAGTAGAGGAGAATATTCAGCGCTAAAATAAAGTGAGAAACATCATCAAACTGACAGAAACTATTAACTTCTGGCATTTAAAAAGTTGTATCTATGAAAACTATGATTTAAACAGAGAAAGTACTCACAGAAAAGACCCAACGCACCAAACAGGGTGTGTCCCATCCTCACGTCCACGCTGACACTCGCTTGTGAGAAACGCTTCCGCTTCGTGTCAAGAGACAGTTTGAAAGGTGTGAAACATGCAGAGAAATGTGGAAATGCAGAGACCACAGATGAACATCAGATGTGAGGTTTTCTCTAACTTCTGCTTCTGTTTATGATCCATTCTTTATTCTACAGCAGCACATTTTATTAATAAAAACTCTACATTCAGCTATACATTTAGAGAAGGTATAAATTGGCAGCAAAACCTTTAGAACACATCAGAGAGGAAATAATTAAGACTCTTTTACAATCCACCTCATTTGCATGAGACGAAATGAAAAAAATGGAGACGAGAAATTCAACCAACTCTTTAGTTCCTCATCTGCAACAACATGTTGAAAGAAATGAAAGAAAGATTTCAGTTTTACTACATATCTACAGCGGAGTCATACCCAAGAAGACTTGAGGCTAATACATAAACCGCCTTGTTATGAGTCTGTATGAATGACCCGTAATCAGAAATTCATATATTAACTAATTTAATCATGTTTGTTCTGGTAGTCGTGACATTGACATGTTTTATCAACACTGACTTTAATGCTTTTGGATTTTAGCCTCAAACTCCAACAAACACCTCACAGCTGCATGTTCTCACAAAAGGATCTGTTCTTGTGACGCAATATAAAAGAAATATAACTAAACAAACGGGTGAAATTAAATAAGTCGTTTTGATACATTTGTGCTTTAGAGAAAACGCTGCAGTCAGAGTGTGAGGAGAAGAAGCACAAGGCTTCTCAAAATAACATTTCTTGTTCCCTTTTCCACATAAAAGACGTGTTGCTGTTGGTTGTGAGGTGTCACATGACCACATTCACATCAGGGCTCATCCGCTTCTACAGAGGTGTGATACTCTGTGATGTATGATCGGCTTGGCTGGAAGAGGAGGTGGAGACTCTCCACTCAGGGGGGACGAGGCCTCCGCCTGCTGGCCTCCTTCTATCTGAGCAGCAGGCGTCTCCACCTGGAAACAACACGGTTTGCAACAATGTGTCACACACACGCTACGACGAGACGTCTCCTCGTGTTACACTGACGCTCTATTTCACATCCTGGAGGAAGGTCAGAGTTGAGAGCATCTGGAGAGTAAAATGCTGAGGTCACGTGACTCACCTGATGAAGACTGGATTCAGGGGAAAGGAGCCTTTTGGCCGCGATGAGGGCAAAGGCAACAATTGTCGCTATTACTACAAAAGAGGTCTGATGTCTCTTTAGGATTTATCAGCCTGGAAGGACATGCAAACCCGTTTTGACAGACAGCCAAAACAGAGTTAATGGGTGTCCCTAAAAACTCTGAATATACAGTGAAAAAGTATTTGCACCTTCCTGGTGTCTTGAGTGAACTGTGATTAACCACATGTTTTTAAATCTGTTCAATTGCAGTTACTTTTTCACACAGGGCCAAGTGGATTTGGATATTCTTTACCCTGTAACAGTATCATTAAAACAGTTTGTCCATCTTATGTGATCATCAATGTAAGCTTATTGTGTCCTGCTTTTCTGCCAATAATTTCTTTGTAACATTCAGGCAGTTTGCTTGATATTTGGCTGCTGGAAAATGCATTTTTTAGTCCAAGTATTTACTACGAACAATGTAACATCATTTATCAGAAATGATAGCTATAAATGTTGATTAGACAGACGTTGATTATGTAATGAGATTGTGGCTACAAGGCCGATGGGAAAAGGATCTGCTGACGATGTGACCATACGGTACAGATGTAGACCCGGAGGAGTCAACACATCTGTCCACTAACTGCAGTCCTCACAGTGATACATGATTGTTTTACGTGCCTCGGCCTGCTTGTGGGAGGGTGTGTGTTTGTGTGTGTGTGTGTGTGTGTGTGTGTGTTTGTGTGTGTGTGTGTGTGTGTGTGTGTGTTTTGATTTGTTCCCACAGGTGTTCTGACACACCCACCGTGCAGTAATCTCCACTGCCCGCTCCCACCCGCAGCCACTAATCACCCTCACCCACAGCCAATCAACTGCAGGGTGCCGTGGCTTAAAAGGAGGTCGGGAGGGAGAGACAGGGGGCAGAGCTGGTGGAGAGAGCGGAAGGACTGTTGAATGATTGTTTTGAGCGGAGCTGTGTTCAAGTGACAGTTCTTTTGTTTACGTATTCATTTGCTCATTTGAATTGGTGAAGGTTAAGTTATTGTTGTTATTCTGTCTGTTGTTTGTACTATTCATTTTTTGTTTCTTCAGTTGTCCCCAGGGAAAAGGGGACCACACAATGGGAGTGTGTAGGTAAGAGACCCTGGGGTTTACATACTACCCGTAGATAAACCTGTCTATATACACTAGGTAAGACCTGGGCGGACCACCCCCTGTATTTATCATAGAGTTTAGCAGATTGTGTTTAGACTAGATAGGTCAGGAGTCTTTTTCATTGGTTAATTTCTTTGCTTTGGTTCCACTCGGACCCTTTTCACCCACTACCGTGTTCTAGGTGAAATAAACCTTGTTTGAGCGGTACTGTGTTTTGTTGGTCCTGCTTGTGCGCCCACGCAATCTTTTTACCTCACCCACCTTGTGGCCAGCTCACGTGTGATGGCGTGTTACGGTATCCTCTTTAGAGGAGTGCGTGACAATGATGGTCAAGAGGATGCCATTTTTCTTTCGACTTGATCAGATCAATACCAAAAGTACTGTTACTAAGCTTTGTTTCTGCTATTGATCTTGCGAGGATCAATACGAAAGACTGATCAGGCTCATGTTAGCTCACACTATAGAACTCTCCTCATGAAATGTGACAGTGTAATAGTACTTATCATATTAGAATCAGTGTTGATAATGAACCAGATTTTATGGAATCACCATTGGGTTTTTTTCCAATACCGGCGCCAAACTGATACTTTTATGACAATACCGGTGTCTGAACCGACCATTGATGACAAAAGGGAAGGAGTTTTTCTTTATGAACAATATATGAACAATATATTAACTGTTTTACAATGTTTCCTGTCTAAGTATTAGACCTTGTATTAGTTCATTGGAATTTGGGGAATATTAATATTATGGATTAATGCTCATACTATACTAAAGATACGTAACACATATTGAAAAGCGTTTGTTATATTGACTCTTTGGCTCTTTTTTTGTCTCGATGTGTTGACGTCATTATTGCAGCAGGTGCAACACAGAAGAGCTTCATTAAGCACGAGAGCTTATAGATGTTCTACCGTTTGACTGAATTCATTAACTGTTTATTTAGTTTACGCTTTGATGCGTAAAATAAAGACGAAAACAAACTATCTCCTGTCATTTACATAAGGAAATGAAGTCACGTGACAGCAGCTGAATGCAGCTTAATGACAAACACGGAAGGAACAACGATACAACCTCGCTTTAATACTTTGGGGGGGCGCACGCTCTGTGTCCGGTGGTGAAAACACTTATTCAGGACAAAAAATGACTGAATAAATGCGTAAATATTACATTATATTACATTATTTCGCACCCGGGACTCGAACCACCAACCCTGCGGTTCCCAGCGCTCCCTCTCTACTCCTGCGCCACGTCGCCCCGGATGTACGATTTACGTCTCGGTATGCTAATGAGGTGGGCGGGCCTAACCTCCGTCTGAAGCATGATTGGTCACAGGAGTGTGATCGCTCTTGCTCTACTGTTTCTGTCTTGAAGTTTGCTCCTTAGCAGAAGTTGTTGTTGTTGTTAGCATTTGGCTACATGGTTTTGTTTTTACAAACCATTTCAAATCAACTGCGATCGTTAGCAAACGATTCAGAGAAGCACGTTAAGAAGGACACTCTTCACTCTGCTGGACAAAGTGACGGAGGACTTGGATCAGAACAATGAAGACACGCATGTGGAAGTTGACCGAACAGTGTTCGATCCTCCTGGAACCAGAGGAGCGACACGTGGACGTTCATCGTATGTTTTATTCTCCTTTGGGGGAAACAAACAGCTGCTCGGAGGATGCTGCAGTACGGAACAAGGTAATAATGGAAGTGTGTTCTTCTGGTTTCATTTATTATCTTTTAACACTCGCTGTATATCGTTTTGCAAATGTACGTAATATTTACTGATGGTAATTCTGAACTTTTTACACGGTGCAATGGAATAAACTCTCAGTATATCAGATAATTTGCAACCCAATTACTGGATACAATTGAGTTAAATGGGGTCCGATTTGACACATTGTTAATAAAGCGCGACAGATCGACTTGAGTTGAACGTGTGCTGTTTGTTCTGTGAATCCGGTCACATTTCTCTTGTCTCTTCTGACTTTTGTCTCGTTGTTTTCGATGACCGTTGTTTTTGAGTCCGCGACCTATAAACTCTATTAGAGGACAATGAATTGACATCCCAACACTGGATACCAAATGATGGTTGGCCATTTGAATGCACCGCGCACACATGAACAACACAGTAGTCTTTATCTGTGGTTATTTACTTGTGCAAGTATCGAATTTTAAACTGTGATCAGCTGAGACAGTGCAACCCTAGAATAACCTATTTCTATTTCTATTGTAGAGTCTGAAGGAGAGCTTTGCAAAAGTACATTTTAATCCTAGAATAGATTCTTGTAATAAACTGTCATTGTAGGCAGACTACATGATTTCTTTCTCCATCAGCATAGAAAGGCTCTGGAGAGATGTTTAGAAAGGCGTACTTGATCTCTTCTACATCAAATTTTAGCACTTTTACTTCTGAGTCTGTATCATTATGGTTGAAATGCACTTAATGTAAGTCGCTTTGGATAAAAGCATCAACTTTTCTTTATCTATATGCTCTGCACTGGTGCTTTGTTCCTCACGTACGGAAACACCTTCAGGTTATCCAGGATGGACCCACGCACGAGGGAAACCAGTCCCACTGTGACTGAGGGAAACCAGTCCCACTGTGACTGAGGGAAACCAGTCCCACTGTGACTGAGGGAAACCAGCCCCACTGTGACTGAGGGAAACCAGTCCCACTGTGACTGATGGAAACCAGCCCCACTGTGACTGATGGAAACCAGTCCCACTGTGACTGAGGGAAACCAGCCCCACTGTCGATCCATCCATCCATCCATCCATCTTCAACCGCTTATCCGGGGTCGGGTCGCGGGGGCAACAGCTCCAGCAGGGGACCCCAAACTTCCCTTTCTCGGGCCACATCTACCAGCTCTGACTGGGGGATCCCAAGGCGTTCCCAGGCCAGTGCAGAGATATAATCTCTCCACCTAGTCCTGGGTCTTCCCCGGGGCCTCTTCCCAGCTGGCCGTGCCTGAAACACCTCCCTAGGGAGGCGCCCAGGGGGCATCCTCACCAGATGCCCAAACCACCACCAGCCCCACTGTGACTGATGGAAACCAGTCCCACTGTGACTGATGGAAACCAGTCCTCGCTGCAACTGTGGAGTCTCCATGAACACGAGGCACAGCAGGACTCCATTCACGTGTGAATTCATTCAGTTATTTCATTTTCCTACGTGAGACAATGTCAACATGAACCTCCCTCATTCAACATTACACACATTTTTTTGTATATTAATAATGTGGTGACGGTTCATTCCAAAGTGCACATATCAGAGGCATAATGTAACTATTAGTACGTGTGGATTCTTATTAGTCTGCATATCGCGGGCACTTGCTAATATGTTGTGATCAAAATGAGGAGCCGTGTTTTAGAGAGATCATTATACATGATGCTCGTAGCTCTCTGTTCCCTGTATATTAATTCATCGGCTCTCTTGGATTGTAATCCATCTCTTTCTGATGTCACAGCTGTTCACATCCACCCAGAACCCAAGGAAGTTATAAAACAAGTGATATTTACAACAAGGTTCTATAATATTAACAACTAACTGAAAATGATTCAGTTCTGTAGAAATGTTGACCATAAGAACGTAAACATTACTTTTGGCTGAACAGACCCTTTAACCTGAACCCTTCTAACTGCAGGTCGACATGGAGGTTGGAGTTGACTGGACGGGACCGTGTGGTCATCGTCAGCCTGGTGTTCTGGTCCCTGAAGTTCAGCTGCAGTGCTGATGGGCCTCTGTCCAACGTGTACAAACTGTATGCTTAATGTCAGAAATGCTCCAGTAAATGCCGGCGTCAGCAGGCATCAGAGTAGTGTAAGTAATTGTTTTCAATCGGCTCAGGCACCAAAAGGAAGGACCGAAATCTGCGTTGCGTTTCGGTCCAGTAGTTACCGGTCGCATTGGAACCGGTACTAATATGTCACCAGTTATCGGTACCGACCCGTCACAACCTTCTGCTTCTGTCTTCTTACAACCATCTCAGCAGCAGGTTGGTGGTGGATGCTGTCAGATAAAAAGCCCCTTGAATAGTTGACTTGACTTCGACGTGTGTGAAGTAGTGTAGTGATCATCTGGACGAGAGACCAACGGGCCCCCGACGCCTCGAGCTCCGTGTTCACACTTTTATGGCCCCTTAATTCCTACAACTCAACGTTCCCAAACAAGCTTACGGCCAAAAAACCGGATTTCCATGAAGCACGGTCGCCATATTTCTGTTCACTGTGTCAGAATGAAACAACTCTTCCAGGTAAACACCTCAATGCTGCTGCTGCGTGGACACACACTGTCCTCTAGTGGAGACATGTGTGACTCTTTGTGACTTTCCTTCCTTCAAACTCCCCCAAAGAGAGACATCGCCTGTAGAGGCCCCCTTGTCAAAGTCATTGTGTCTTAATTCGCTTCCTCTTTCTCATGAGATCATAAACAATGATGAAAATCTTGAACATTTGAAAGACGACAAACATTTTAAATACTTGTTGCACACAATATTTCAGCATTATAGTACATTAATGCTGACTCCTCCATTATAAGTAATAGAATGATTTATTAAACTCACTGAGCTAAGAAGCCACATTCCTCACGTGCTTGGTGAAGGTTATTAAAGGCTTTTTTTACATAAAAGTAAGCTGACATCTTCTAGCTGCGGCGTGAAAAGTGTTGGATTTTGTCTGACGCAAGAACAGAGTCATTCACATGCCTTCACTAAGTTACACGGTTTTATTAAATATTGTTAAGTACCTCCTCAACCTCTGGTAGCGTTGTCATAGCGACCACTTTTTCTCCCTCTGTGGTTGAATTAACAGCTGTAATACTGCCATCCTGCCCTCGCTCGCCCCCAGTGCGACAGACGGTACTGCAGTTACCCCTCTAGCGTCTTCCTTATTTTCCGAGACTCCCCCCTTTTCAAGCACGCACACACACACCTTAATCGGTGTCTCTGTGAGTTAATTAACTGTTAAACTTTAAAATACGCGTCCCTGTGTTTACTTGTGGATTTGTATGCTGGTGACAAGATTAGATTAAACTGTATTGTCATTGCCATGATTGCCATAGCCTCTGCCGTGATGGAGGCAAAGCAGCGAGTATGGGAGGAGTTCGGGGTAACTATGGAGAAGGACTTTCGGTCGGCACCAAAGTGCTTTTGGAAGACCATCCGGCACCTCAGGAGGGGGAAACGGGGAACCATCCAAGCTGTGTACAGTAAGGATGTGTTAAGGTTTGCGGAAGCTCTCGAGGGAGGACTCAATCCTTTGTTCTCGTCCCGGCCGGAAACGAGGACACGAATGAGTCAATTCGTTTAAATTCAAAAATCAAAAAGTATTTAATGACTAAACAACGTAGTAGGGATTACAATTACAAAGTGAAATACTAAGCGAACAGTGGAATATTTCGCGAAATAGAGAATCCTCTGAGCAAGTCTGAAGTGACTTATCAACGCGGCTGCAGGAGAAGTTCTAACAGTCTTTTCCCCGCTTTGGTCCTTTGAAAACTCTTGAGGTGTGTCTTCTTTGGTGCATTTGAATGTCATTGGCCTCTTCTCCAAAGGGTCACCTCCTCCATTGTCCCTTCCACGTCGAGGTGTGAAGCTGCAGCTGTAACCTGAAACCTCTCTGTCCTAGCTGTCCCTCACATTCCAATGCACTCAATGTAGATACTGTGGCTTTATGCCCCAATGAGTGAACCCAACAAAGCATACATCGTTTAAGTTTTCATCTTATAACTAGTACACTTTAATTACAACAACCCATCACTAATGATCACCGTTCATCACACTTCATCATAAGATCTAAAACAGTTCATGTGGTTCAATTCTCAAGACATTTGCCTCAGTCGGCTGCCTTGAAATAAGTTGTTCATTTTATTACCTGACAGGAGAAAAAACTCCCAAAAAACCCTCTTTGGGGATAAAATTGGGAGAAATCCATAAAGAACGGCAATTGGCATCCGTCCCCAGGTTTTAACATCACATTGTGACAGAATGTTAATGTGTAGTGTGTTTCTACGATTTAAAAGACTATAAACTGTGTTTGGTTGTAATTGCATTCACTTCATCTAACATGTTAATGTAATAACTAATATCTAACATCACACAAACTATAATTCTAACACTAAACATTATTACACGTACTATAATTCCCTGACTAGGGGTGCACTTCTGGCTTAAATCCCTAACAGATGGGACCCTGTTGACCGCGACTGAGGAGGTTATCGGGCGGTGGAAGGAACACTTTGAGGAACTCCTGAACCCAACTACTACGCCCTCTTTGGTAGAGGCGGAGCTGGAGGCGGAGGAGGGATCATCGTCAATTGGCCTGGTGGAGGTCACTGCTGGTCCTTGCTTGGGGCCATCCAATCCTTGTACGCCCAAAGCAGATGATGTGGTCCTGATGGCATCTTCCGCCTGTGACCTCCAACTCTCACTGGAGCGTTTCGCAGTCGAGTGTAAAGTGCTCCGGATGAGGATTAGCACCTCTAAATTTGAGGCCATGGTTCTCAGCAGGAAACCGATGGATTGCCTACTCCAGGTAGGGAATGTGTCCTTACCCCAAGTGAAGGAGTTCAATTACCTCGGGGTCTTGTTCACGAGTGAGGGGAAGATGGAGTGTGAGTTTGGCCGGAGAATCAGAGCAGCGGGGGCAGTATTGCACTCGCTTTACCGCAGTGCAGGTACTGAGACAACGAAATGCAGTTTAGCGTCTAACCAGAAAGTGCAAGAAAGAAGATAAAGTGCAGAGTGTTTATATATGATGTTGTGTAGCGGCCCTGTACAGGAGTTTGTGTGTGATCGTCGCGTCGTCACCTTCGCTCCGGCCAATCATGTGGAGTCACTTTTGCTTCCTGTCAGGGGGCGGCCACTGATTGGAGGAGATCAGAGAAGGCGGGTTTTCCGTGTTCTGCACCAGTCAAGTTTGGTAGAAGAGTTCCGGTTATTTTTTTAAGTGAGTACAGCAGATAGCGTGACGGTGTCTTCTCATTGTGTTCATTGAATTGAATATACATGGAGCCGTTTATATAAATAACATATATATCCAGTATTAAGCAGCAGGGTTGTAAATATGAACGCCATGGTAGTGCAAATATGACATAACTGACAGCGGCAGGGAAGAAGCTGTTCCTGAACCTGCTCGTCCGGGAACGGAGGAACCTGCAGCGCCTCCCAGAGGGAGGAGGGCAAACAGTCTGTGGTTGCGGTGAGAGTTGTCCTTCATGATGCTGCGCGCCCTCCGCACACATCTTATGTGCTGGACAGTCTGGATGGTGGGAGTGAGGAAGCAGTGATGAGCAGTTTTAAGCCTGTTAACCCTGATTTCCGGTCCGCAGCAGAGCAACTGTCGTACCACAGCGTGATGCAGTTGGTGAGGATGCTCTCGATGGTGCAGCGGTAGAAGTTCACCAGGATCTGAGGGGACAGATGAGCCTTCTTCAGTCTCCTCTGGAAGAAGAGGATGAGGAATCGGCCGAGGGAATCAGGCTGCATGAATGCACATCACAGGGAGCACTGAACAGGTGAGAGAATCACTGATGCAGATGGAATCAAAAACACGCAGATACAAATATTTAAAATGCCTTTAGAATTAAAACAAGGGTGCGTCTATAGCGGTTACATCTTACTCACACACCTGGATCACCATTTCCTTTAAGAAGGAAGTAATATCGTATTTACATTGCTGTGATCTATTCCTGTTTAATTAGATAAAAACATCAGCAGGTCAAATACTTCACACGCAACTTTTTATCAAAGACAATATGTGGAAAGTTAAAGAAATCAGCTTTAAGACATTTAACTCTAGTGATACTTTAACTATTTCAAAGAGACATTTTAATTTGTTTAGATGAAACTTACTAATGTGATGCAGGAGGAGCGTGTGGACATACGTTCCCTGTAATCTCTAATATTTATTTAATTGAAGAAATGATTGTAGGAAACACTGCTTAGAGCTGCAAGTTTATTGATGCATAAATAGATTAAACATTACAAAATGTATTAAACACAAACAGGTGAAGATGAAATAGAAACCGCACTTATTAAACACTTTAAAGAGACAAAGTTAAACTTAAATGTTCGAGAAATGTGTTGTCCAATAACAGATTAAATGTGTAATAAATGCGTAAAACTTTTTTTTAATCAGAAATAAAAGGAAAGATCACTTTATATTGAATAATATCACCAACGTACTGAAGCTCAAAGACGTCAAACTGCTTTTTTTCTGCTTTTCAAAACCAGCCTCCATTCAAAAAAGCTTTAAAAAACAAAGTGACTGAGGAGATGAAATTAAATGTACAGTAAACACTCAACACAAACATTTAAATAAGTAAATGTAATAATCTACTCTTCTCACCATGTAAAACTTTTAAAGAAATATAATGTATTTTCTTTAAATGATCTTTTCATGGGTTAACAACTACTACTACTACTACTAAAATACTGTCTCATATCAGGAAAGAAAAAGTTGACACAATAATTACTCAAAAAGACAAAGATGTGGTTTTTCATGTCGTCATCCGTTCCCCTGGTTCTGTCCATGCAGATGTTTTTATCCATCTGATAAAAGAGATTAAAGGTTATTTAAGAGTAACAGGTGTAAGTGTTGTGTTTGACCTTTGCTGACTGCTGGTAGTAATACACAAGTACACTCAGATTGTACTACATGGTGTGTTGTACTTGAAGTACCTGCAGCTGTTTCCATCGTCACATTTATGTAATCGCTCTCCTCTGGTTCATCATTCGTCCCTGTTAGAAGGATCAGATGAATGCATGAAGAGACACTTTATTCTCCTTTATTAAAGCTCTGCTGGCCTACAAAAGCATCTCAACTACTGCAGCTTGTTCCCTTATAGAAGTATTCACATGAACCATCAATGTCTTTAAGCTCAAACACAGAATCTGTGACATCATCGATACACTTTGTCTTTAATTTAAAGGTCAACCAGTCACTTGATCATCTGATTCTAGTATTTTAACAGCTGTGTGATGAACACACAGGATTTACTGCACCATGTTCAGGTTCTTCAGAGCCTCCGATTGCTTCATAGAGACAAGAATCACCTGCAGAGCAGTGAGGATAAAGACGAAGTTGTATCAATCATTTGAACCACTTTGTATCGATTATAGAATCTTCTCAAACAGATAACCAGAAATGGAAATGTTAGCATTAAAGTTAAGAAGACATTATTAAATAAATCAGGATTAAAGCTGACCATGAAGAAGAGAAGAGTAATGTCCGTCTTGAGTTTCACCCTGGTTGATCATGTGGTCTGTAGCTGCGCTCTGATTGGTCCTCTGAGACCTTGTGGGTCCAAAACATGAAGTAAATACAGAGGATTTAATGAGGAACATGTAAAGTCCTGCTGCCGTGTTCAGAGTGAGAGAAGAGAGGCTTGT